TTAATTCATAACTATCTTGTTCAATTCAATTCTGTTTAAATTATTAAGTGTAAATGCAAGAAGTTCTTATTTGATAGATTATTGATTGTAGACTTTCGTTAATCGTATTGTTTCATGAAGTTCTTGAATATCTTGGACTCTTATCCAAATATATGTAAGAATGATTACAAACGAGATATTTTAAAGAGAACATTACGAGTGAATAGAGATTAACAACCAAAGTTCATCTTCATTAGATCTAGTCGTCTTTTACAACTATGAAAACAATTTCTTTAATATATAAAACAAATCTTTTCAAGAAGCAAAACCAGTGAATTCGTTTCCTTTAAAGCAATACTAACATTAAGTCTAAATTCTAGAAAGAACTGGAAGGATCTGATTAAAACTTAGACAAATGGTCTTTTCTTTATATTACTACATACAAGAAGACCATCGGATGTATCAGATTTCGAATCTCTAATCTTTGTATTTTCTAACACTCAATTTTTACTGTTTCATAATATATGTATAGAAAAATGTAGCATCAAGAAGCTCTTTTGTTTCTTTTTTCCTTTTCCATGAAATACCAACGAAATATGTCTAATGTAACTAATCTCTTATATTTCCTTACCAAAAAGGGTTGCTTCATTAAATGAATCAACTAGTGAACTAATCTGAACTAATCGACTATTATAGATGAAAAGCTACTAATTATCGACTAACTAGTCACATAATAGATGTTACATACATATTAATCTAACTATCGGAAATATTAGATAATCATTATTACGATGGAATTCTTCATTCTGTATCGTTGATCTATCGATCTTAATAGAATAGAAACAGAAATCATTGTATAACATGATTGAAAACACCTAGAGAGACAGTTAAACAATCCATATGCAATATTTTTCTTGTTATAAATGTCGACAATGTAAGTGGCATATTGTCGTTTGTTGAAAAAAAACCTCTGAATTATGTAGGTGGTTCTATATGCATTCGGCCTGCATACTTTGTGTCATGATGTTCTAGAAAACCGCGAGTTGTTGGAAATTCATTTGACTTATGTTATAGAGATCCATATCTCGAAATGATATAAAGATTTTCAAATCTTTAATAGGTTCTTAGATGAAATCGTTTATCGTTCTTATGTTGATAGAAATTCCTTTACGAAAAATTCACATTGCTTCGCATCATATTATCTTTTATTCATACATCAGAAAAGGTAATCTTGTTTTTGTAAGAAACTCTCATAAATGTTTCAATTCAAGATGGATTAAATATATTAAACTCTTTTAATGAAAAGAAGATTTTCTGCAAAATGATATTGTAAAAATAAATTTGATCTTCTTCAAAGCATGAATAATATAGTATATCAAAAATACTACAGGTAAATACTTTTAAGAGAATGGAAAACGACATACTCTGATTGTATTGCCAAAATAAAACTAAATTTTTTTCAATATACTTGAGACTGTAGAATGTAATCCGACAAAAATCAGAGAAGATCCTATAATTCTATTTATTCTTTAGCTACTATGATAATATAAGAATCTTGATCAAAATTATTCACTTATGAATTAAATAGATAAATAAAACTTTTGTTTCTCTTTTCTTGTGATCGTCTATGTCTTAGAACAGCTGAAATATGATACCAAATATCAATAGAAAGCTATTTTTTTAGATGAACTAATCAAGTTCTAACTTTTAGAAATAATCATGATGAATATTTCGAAATTTATCAAACTGTACAAACAAGTGAAATAAACACTCGTGTAGTGCGAAAGAAAAGAGAAAGAAAGAAATTTCTGTTCGAAATACCGAAATAATTAAATAAAATGAAAATGTTTTTCTAGTCATCAGTTACTCATACTAGGTTCGCCGAAGATGTTACACGTCATTTTTAAGTCTAGTATGCACAGAATTGTTTTAGAATGTTACCAACATTAATAAGATATACTAGAAGAATAATTATTTCATTTACTTTAATTTTTAAATTGAAAGTTTTAAATGATCAATAGACTTTTTCGAGATAATATTTTGATAAAGTAGATATAATCTATTCTAGATGAAGTAATTTCTTCGAATATACGTATATGAATTTATTGTTACATGATAAATAATAGAAAACTTTTTTCTCATGGTTATGTTGTTGTATAGAAAGGAATAGGTACCATCTTATTTTATAACACGTTAGGTAGTTTCGTAACCTCACCTAGTGAGAGTTTCTTGTGCTTGTTCCTGCATGCCATACTAATGTCATCTCCTACTAATCCAGCGTAGTGCACTCTGCATTTTACAAATTTTAGGTTTATAGGGCCGAGTGTGGATGCCATTGAGGTTGAAGAAAGGAGAAACATCTAAGCGCACATTTACATACCCTAAAGGTATGAATAATTTCGGTAAACACTTATTTCAAGAGTATGGTGAACTTGGTCTCAATGTTCGATAATGTCATCTGTGTTCATATTTTACATTACTTAAATCAAAATATGATTATTATCAGAGAAAAATACTTATAAATTAAGCTATACAAAAAGAAAAGTTTATGAAAGATCAGTACAGATGTATTGTATTTCTACATTGAAATTACTTTTCTATGAAAACTTTCTATAATATTTAATTCAATTATCTTCATAATCATAAATTTTATTTTTATCAATCAATAAAAACAAAAAAAGAATTATGATCTGATGTATTGTTACTAGTGAATCAGCTTATATAAATAGTAAAAATTGTACAATATTAATTGCTACGGATGTAATGTATCCAATTGATATGTCTATTGATTTTGTACTGAAATTCTCATTTTCATTAGATATGTTTTGCATGTCATTTGTATTGAATTAGTTATGAAAATCGTTGATTATATATTATTGAAAACTTTGAACATGAAATATCTGCACGTATCATTTATTAAGAGGATATTCAATCAGATCTCAGATGAAAAAAAAATAGTAGAAAAGTAAAAGAAAAAATTTAAACGTATAATGGAGGTACGTATCTGAAAATTCAAAAGAAAAATAAAACAATGTAAATATTCTTTTTCTTTAAAATAATGTTGCTAAACATGAAAATATTTTATAATATTATTATGTATCCGATACAGTTTACTTTTAATTGATATTCTTACAATTGGTTTAATTCAATTGAAATATAAAGAAAACTAATTTAACGAGATAAATTTTTGATGTCCAATGAACGGACGAAAATCTTTAAAGCGTTTAGGTTTTAACTAATAAGGAAAGCTCTTCAGATGACAAAAAATAGCTTTCGAGTCTATATTTGCCCAGTGGCAAACGATATATTGATTAGAACAGTCCCCGACGGGACTGTACGGATGTTAAGATTTTACCGATATTTTGAGTGTGGGTGTGGATCCTCTCTTCATTCATACCCTAAGTTGACAAGAGTATAGGATACACGAATGTGTCAGTGTTCATAATTAATCATGTCGACTGATTTACATTGATAACTATAAGAATAATCAATGTTGGCCATGAAATGTTGGTATGTATGTGAATATTCTCTATAATAACAAACAAGACTCATATTCTTATGTATACTCTATGCGAAATAAACTTCCTTGTGTGAGAATTTGTCTTTCATTGCTCTAGTATCTTCAGTGTTACAATTAAATATTAAATAAAACAAAAGATAGATAAAGAAGAAAAGTCAAAAATTGCTTTCGACCAAAAGCAATAAACGATTCATTCTCAAATAAAATTCACATGCATTAGTTTCAACAGTATTTATTAGGTGATAATTATATAAAATTACGAATTTTGAAATCTCTGATCGAAATGTGTTTTTTCCTGCAAACAAGTTTTCTCAATTATTTTTTTGTAACAGTAAAAAGGTCAAACATTGTTCCTATTTCAAAAGTAAAAAGCAAAATAACTAGAAATTTTTATTCAAAGTGATTAAAACAACTGATTAAGCATTCAATATGTTTAGACCAACATGCATTATGATTACATGATACAAATACCTTCATTCAATTTACTAATTTGATCAAATGAATAAAATATCTCTCGTAATCTTCTTGAGGGTGTGCGTATGAATGAGTGAACAGAAGACTTACACCCGCACTCACACCCCAATTAGAAAATCACTTTTCTGGTGCTCCTGAGAGGAACACGGCATTCATTTAAAAACATACCGTAAAAATGCAATATCTTCGTACGAACAAGCTGTCAGTCCGAACTTTTTTCAAGGTATTCATAGTTTCTTTGTACCTACATATTGCATATTGTCTCAATGTAAAAGCGATTGATCAGTTGAGGATCTTCTCTTGTAAGTAATTTATATATAATTGATGTTTAAATTATGTATTGTTTTGTCAAACCTCAAAATAACCTTTTCATTTCAATTTCAACTAAGAACTCATTCTTTTTTGAAATACATTGATAGAAATAATTTTCAACATAACTGTTGAAAATTGATATATAAATGGGACATATTATCTAATGAATTTATGATAGAATATGATAGTCATGAATTTATTTTGACCTTTTTTGGTCCTAGAGACTATTGCAAGAAAATAACTTAGTTTCAAGATCTCTTCCGATCGAAAATGTCAAACTGAATATGAGATCAATATTTCTGTTGTATCTTTAGTCATCAATTGATAATATTTGTTTTTAAGAATGTTTCATAAAGTTGAAACCGCTATTTTGAGTTTCAAATAAATGACACAATAGAAAATATCTTACGAGATGTCTTTAAAACTATTTATGATTATTTTCTTTTTCATAAGATTAAAAACATATCGTTTTTTTTAGCTGTAACAATACAAATAGCATGATTGAAAATTTTATCGATAAGCTTCGTTATTGTACTAATGTAGTTGAAATGCTTTTCTTTACGATTCGTACTATACAGAATTCTGCCGTTTTTATTTCTTATCACAACAATGTCAAAGAAAGGTAAACTTTTTCTTTTGTTAGATTAAAATACTCATTACATATACTTCTATAAGTTATATTTTGAAGTATTTGTGCATCAATATTTGGTGTACATTATTTGTTTTTCGTTGTTAATAATATTTGTAAAATTAATGGTAAATATTTAGATACTAATTGTGAATTTAATGATTGTTCTTCAAGTCCTACAATCTTTTCAATATGAAGACAAACAATTGATTTGACTACCTGTAATACAAATATATATAAATGTACGAAGAATTTTAACGATGTTAATGATAATGTATTTGGTTTTAATAAATTATTCCTAATAGTCTATATTGATTGAATAAGTAAATAATTTCCAGCTAATGTACGATCTATAAAGCCAAGAAAATTATTAATATGAAAATGTATCAAGATGATGTATAGTTCCGTCATGAATTAAAAATTCACGAAAATTATTTAGAATTGTTTAGCTAAAATAAAATTAGAGATATTATAAAACCATAGAAATTTTAAATTCAAATAAATGATACTATCATAGAAGATAAATCCAATTATGGACCAAACTAAACGGAAAGGACGATTGATATTCTAAAAAACAATTTAAACTTTAGAAAAATTTCATGAATAAAAAAAAACGAAGTTTTCTGTTTGCTAATGCTCGAAATGTAACAATATATGGATCAATTAATCGTAATTTAAATAATGATACAATAATAAAATTTGTTAATTGTGTAGAATAAATATCCAAAAGTGATTGATCCTAAAACGTAAAGTGAAATCTAAGATTATCAAAGAAAGAAAAATAACCTTTGATGATGCCATAGTAACATGTAATTGTAAATGAATAAGAAGTCCATGGACAATTTGTCGTGAAATACAATTCCATTAATCACCTTCATGTTGAATACTATCAACAATAATATCATATACAACTAAGTCTAATACTGCTAAAACTAAAAAAAAAAAGAATTCAAACAATAATTTATTTTTCTTGAAAATATTTTTTTTCTCTTCTTCTTATCATACGTTGCAAATCATGTTTACTTGCTTTGTGACAACATAATAAGAAATTTCGTAAGAAATTCTATTTACAAATAAACGATAGATTAGAAATACAAGAAATTTTATCAGTGTTTAGTATACTACAATTAATGTGAATTAAAAATAATTGAACAAATGAATCGAGTACAGCAACTTGAAAATCACTTTCATTCGTGTCAACATATTTTTTAGTATTAATTTTTTACTTAAATAGAAACTATGAAACAGAGTAGATCGAATTCATGTTGATTGTGAAGAAATATTTGAAGATTTTTATTTCAGAAGATGGTGATAAAGGATGTCGGTGTGGCAGTGAATGTTATTATTTTTTTCAACTCACACTCTACATATACACATAAGGCGAATATTTTTTTTTCGACTACGACGACGACGACATGATATTGATGTCCGTCAGATGTGAAAAAAAATTAAAAAAACATACATAATCACTAGATAGAGATTGATCGTCAAATCAATTAAAACACACGAAGAAACATCAATTCACGTGTGTGATGTGATTGATGAAAAATCAATCAAAACCATTGAATATTAAACAATGAACCATAGTGTATATAAAAACATGGATGTATCATCATAAAACAGTACATTCGCGTTTTCTCAATATGATGCATTACAATGTAATTATATATCCGGGTACATTATTTATTATTATTATTATAATATTATTTACAATGATAATGATATCATTATATTTTAAATAAGGTAAATTATTTGTCTTTATATTTAACAATACTTTCTTTTTAGATGAGCTACTATACAATACAACATTGAGAGGTAGGAAAAAAATTTTTTTTACATGTTGAGTTGAGTTGAGATAATTTATTTCGAGAAAAAATAAATATTGTCAGTTATTATGAGTATGAGTACTTTTGAGATGAGATGAGTTGAGTTGAGTTATGAATGTTATTAGTGTGGGTCAGAGAACTACGTTTTCTGATTCAATAGGGACAGGAACTTTCGTGCCATAGCGAAGCAGTGTAGTACTAGGGAAGGCCTCTATGTGTCGTTGGTCTCTACCGTGTTAATACGGCATACCTTCGGCCATTGCCCTACCAGTCCGGCGTGGTCCGCCTGTGGTACCTATGGCATTGACAAGGGATCTCTCCCTTGTCGCGCGCGCGCGCGCGGTTAAACCAAAATGAGCAGAGAAAAGTCGAAACGATTAGCAATGTGAATAAATTTATTGAGCAAGTGAAAAGAAAAAATTATAGTTACATTTTCTTTTTTACATTGTCAATTGAGTTTTTGACTGTTTTAATATTAGGATGGTTAGGTGGAAGTGATTTTTGGAAGATAGAAAGTGTCTTTTCTAAAAATGAAAGTGCTTTTGAGTAGTCACCTTTGCCGAAATACGCCGTACCGATGTTGTTGTAGGAAGTAGCCAAACTGGGATGATTCGGAGGCAGAGCTTTTTCTTTTATTTTATGTGCTTTTTCGTAAAATTCAAGTGCTTTCGAGTAGTCACCCATGTTCTTATACACGAGACCGATGTTGTTGTAGGAACTAGCCAAATGAGGGTGATTCGAAGGCAGAGCTTTTTCGAGGATTTTGTGTGATTTTTCATAAAATTCAAGTGCTTTCGAGTAGTCACCCATGTTGTCATACACGAGACCGATGTTGTTGTAGGATTGAGCCAAATCGGGATGATTCGGAGGCAGAGCTTTTTCTCTTATTTTAAGTGATTTCTCGTAAAATTCAAGTGCTTTCGAGTAGTCACCCATGTTGTTATACACGAGACCGATGTTGTTGTAGGGAGTAGCCAAATCGGGATGATTCGGAGGCAGAGCTTTTGTCGTGATTTCGAGATCTTTTCCGTAAAATTCAAGTGCTTTCGAGTAGTCACCCATGTTGTTATACGCAAGACCAATATTAGTATAGGTAGGAGCCAATGAAGAATGATCTTCCGGAAGACTTTTTCTCTTGATCTTCAGTGACTTTTCATAAAATGAAACTGCTTCTTGATATTGTCCTTTCTCGTTTTTTAAGGATCCAAGCATATGATAAATATCTGCTCTATCACTGTCACTGGAATCGTTCTTCAGTAATCCATTGTAGAGTTCTTCAGCTTGATTGTAGTGACCCACTTTGAGCATTAGATGGCCCAACTGATGCCATCGTGTAGACCCAAAGAGTTCCCCTTTTATGTTTTGCGTCAGACTAGCCAATTCTGGATCATTGTCGCCGGTGAGACTCAATTGAACTTCCCACAGACGACTATTGCTAATTGATTGTTTGATTTCGTCGACACGAAAAACAGTATGCATTGAAAATAAAATTTCTTGTTCAGTTTCAATAGCACTGTATTCGTCGATAAGTGCAAATGGAGTAGTCGTCGCCGATATTGTATTTGGATCAATTGTCATGATGAAAAGAACACCCACGATGTCTTTATTTTTCTGCATTGTACGTTCCACAAATTCCATAGCGATCTGTTGTTTTGTACTAGTTGACAAAAAATTGTTAAATGAGAGCAGTCCACCTTTCGTGTCCATTAGATGTTGAAAATTTTGTTCAATGAGCCCCTGACCACGATAAACAATAAATTTTTCCATAAAAGTCTTTGCTTGTTCTTTGTGCAGTTGTTCCAGCTGATGATGAAGGTTTCGAATGAAAAAGCCCATTTTTGTCATGGCTTCCATGTCCAGTGTTCGTAGGGCACAATTCAGCATGCCATATAGAAACATTTCGCATGTATACCACCAGACTGGCGTTTTCTGGTGGTATGTACTCTGAAAGTCCTTTAATTCTTTTTCCGATATACCTTTGCTACGACAGTAAACGACTAGATCGTTCAGCGGCTTTATGTCGTCTTCATTGATTTCTAATATAATTTCTTTGAATAATACTGAGTACATGAAAGATGGTTCTAATTGATCCAGATTTTCTTGACTTGATGTAGCTGCTGTCGTTTGCTTCGGAACGAAGCTCATAGGAATGGCATCATGGTCACATTCACGGGTGACCTTCTTTAATGATTCACATATGGGCTTGATTGAGGTGAAAACACCTTCAATCTTTGCCCATTCTTTTGCCCATGCTTCATGTTTTGTTTTATTACCACAGAAGATATAAATTGCGTCCACTTGTGACAAATCATGAATCTGTGGTACGAGGCGCTGCCCTAAAGCTCCAGACGAGATAATAAACGCTTTTTCGTTATCCATATTATTCAGAAACTGAATACATTGCGTTGGAGCCGTACAGAGATTGACTTCTCTGACGATGCTGCGCAATTTCGCCAGCGTATTTGCGCAATCTTCGTTGTTCTCGTCGATGTTATCATCGACCCAGATTAGTAAATAATTTTGGAGCCGACCTTGTCTTGGTCGGCTGGCAACAGTTAAGGATCTTGCTGTTGCAGCGGCGCACATGGTTAATTTGTATACCTGTTCTTTGGATCGTTGTTCACTTGGATTATATATGAAATGTTGTTTTTAATTTAAAACGATGAATAATTGCTTTTTGTTTATACAGTCGATACCCACTGTTTTTTTTAGATGTTTCTATGACATTAAATATGAGTTTTTTTTTCGTTGACACTCAATACCAAATTCCACTCAGTTTCTACTGAAAATATGATTGTCAACAAAAAAATGAAATAGAAAAAAACCAATGACATCATTTTTTCCATGCTTTTTCTTTCCAACTTATATTTGCTCTTCATCAAAACAATCACTTGAGTATTGATGTATTATAAATATTTTTCTCATTCACCGATGATTTTTTTTTGATTTCTTCAGAACAACTTTTTTTGTCTTTTTGGCAAAAAGGAAAAGAACAACAATGAATACATCGTCAATTCGATATCTTTAGTATGATTCTAATGAGCACTCTGACAATGTGAATAGAAGAACAAGAGAAATAAATTTAATTTTGATTGAAACAGCAGTCAACACAACAATTTTTATCTTTATCAAATATAAGACACATTATTAGTCGATGACTCAGCAGGAAAGAATAGCTCGTATCTTGCTGAATCCTCAGTAATATTTACTGCATTCTATGCTTACTGGAGCATTAATGAAGAGTTCGATAGAGACTATTATAGATGTAGCAAGCAAACTAAAGTTTTATTTGATAATTTCATTTATGAGCTTTCGCTATGCCATGTACTAAATAATTCTAATTTCAATTTGAGCCAATACTCAGAATAGAATTAAACTTTGTTTTGGTTGTAGATATGCGTGAACAGACGTCGAGCTGCCAAACTCACATCCACATACACCCTTCAAATTCAAAGGTCACAAAAAAGCTTCTATCTTTATAACATATGCCAAATCACTTTGCACAAAAAATACAAGCTTGTTCCGCGAAATAAAAAATTCACTGTAATGTTGAATGTATGATTCATTTGGGTTTCTTCTGTAAATACCATTATGACAAACACGAAATATCAACAAAAGTACATTAACAATGAACCAACCAATGAAACAAAAACATAAACTAAGAAATATTCATTATTGTTGCCAACATTTTCTCTCTTTTCGATCGTGTCTGTTGAGCCCATGGCAATGTGAAAGTGCCGTGTGTAAACAAAGAAGTGCTGCAGAAACGCTATACTATATTTTTCTTCTTTTCTTTCGTTTTATGTGTTTGCATCTCATAAAGAATTTTTTGCTGCTCTATTGACGAGTTTCAATCAATAAAAATACATTAAAATTAATTCTATGCTGTTCATTCCATCACATTGGTTTCGTCTCTCCATGGTTATAGATTCAAAAGCATCTAATTTTGCAAAAACCTGTAGACTAAGTATGATTAACATCTTGTTGAAAGATTGTTAAAATCGAATGAATGTTAAATAATTAATTTTCCAAAGCTTTCATTTTCCTTTTCGGTTGACAAGAATATTTAAAAACTTGTCATGAAGTAAACAGAGTTTTTTTCAAAAGTCTTGTTAGTTTGCAAAAACGTTTGCATTATAATATTGAAGAGCAGGAGGATATACGTACATTAGATTCTTAAGACATTAAAAAAATATATTATTCAAAACTTGAACTTGGAAGACATTAAGTTTAAAACTCAAGAACTGATTTTAGTTGGCAACCTTATTGATGACAATACTAATCCACTTATGTTCCTCGATGAATATGACTGAGAAGTTTCATAGTTCAATCCACCATATATCTTCATTCCTGTACGTCAGTAGAGTCAAATCCTGAATTATAGTTCATAGACGATCAGTATCTACTAGTTGGTTACAGTAAACTAAAAATAGTAGTCAATGATTATTCAGAAATCAAAAAAAGTCAAAATAATGAATGACATTGCGCTCTTCTAGTTTTATTAAGATTCCAAGCTGAAAAGATGCTAACTTGAGAAATTACCACAAAGATTGAGCATTCATGTGTGAAATTTAGGATCTGTCCCAAGCAAAGAGGTGTAATACTGAAAGGTGTTATGAAATAACATTCGGATATTGGTACAATATTTTCTACTAATATAAGTAAACATTGCCATACAATTTCATTTTGAAATGAGAGATGATCGATCTGGGTGGGTGTCGGTGAGAGTTAAAAGAATCATATCCACACTTGCCCACACGTTCACCTTTCATCCACACCCGTGTTAACACTTAAGAGTAAATTCTACCTAGTTTCACTTAGAAATATAGTTGTCAACAACAAATGAAAGAGAAAAAACCCAACAACATTATTAATTGCATTTTTATTCATTTCAATTTTCGTTTACTTTTCATCTACGCAATCACTTTAGTCGTTTTTTTCTCATACTGGCAAGAACGAAAAAATAAACAACATAGACATTGACAGTTTGACAAATGTTACTATAGTTACAATTAATAATAAAATTTACTTTTATTCAAGTGACAACAAACTAACAAGTTTTTTCCTCGTGAAATATAGTTCGTATTTATTATGCTTCATGTTTACTCTTGTTTATAGAACATTGATACACTTCTAGAATGGTTCAAAAATCTTGGATTTTCATTACAATCTTATCTTTTCTCTCACTTTGATCGATAAGATATTGTAATAATTTAAGAGTTGTCAAATTGCATCTATGAAGTTTTGCCACATGACACATTGCTAAATAGTTCTTATTCTAATTTAAATCGATATTCATAATACAATAAACTATTTTCATAGGATAAACATTACTATCATAAAAAACTTTAAGTGAGAAAGAATACATGGTTTATTTTTGAATGCTGATGTCATACCTGAGTATGAAAATTGCATTTACATTCAGACCCGTATTAAACAAGTACTACTATATTCATGTTTTTTTTTGAGTGTGGTCAATATGTAGTCGTGAAATTATATAAGCGAAACTCACAGAATGAATAGAATATCACTCAAAATATTTATAACACGATTCTGTTATTCTGTATTCAAAAGTAGCAAATATAAAATATAATCATAATAGTACACACGATATGCTTTTTGCACAAACACAAAAGTTCGTTCCACGAATATAAAATATATTGATCTAAATGTTGATTTCATCATTCTGTCGCGTTTCTTCTGAAAATGTAACCAAGACAAACGAAATGCGAGAGTGCATTTTCATCCATTTTTTTTCTTTCTTTTGATTTTGTTGACATATCGTCAAGGACTTTTTTTTTCAT